AAGAAAAAAAAGAAAAAAAAAGAAAATAAAAGAAAAGAAAAAGAAAAGAAAATTCTCGTAAAAAAGTCTCGAAAAAGAGTCGCGTTGGTATAGATGGCAAAAATTATCGAAGAATTTTCCGATTCGATCAGATCTGCGAAAAGGGACAAAAAATATTTATTAAAAGCATCAAATCGAGTTAACGATTTGATTTGCGTTTAATTAAATCACGAAATTTAATGGAAATGTCTCATGTTAAATACTGAAATTTAAACGGAACGATAACATTTCAAACGACTCTTTTCTCTCTCTCTCTCTCTCTCTCTCTCACGATTTTTTTCTTATTTTATTTCAAAGATTTTCTAAAAAAGAATAAAAATATCTGAACGATCTTCCACAGATATCAGATATATAAATCATAAGAATGAACCATGAAAGAGCAAAAAAGAACAAGAGAGAAATAGAGATAGAGATAGAGAAAGAGAGAGAGAGAGAGAGAGAGAGAGAGAAAGAGAGAGAGAGAGAAATAGAGAAGATTTAGATGAGAAGTAGGAAAGAAATAGGAAGGAGGGGGAGAGAACGAGAGAGGGAAAGTTATACGTTTAGTAGGGAAAAGGCGATAAGCTAAAATGCGCGACCACAGGAGCTGGGTAAAATGGGTTAATGGTGGTCCTAAAATGATTCCCTGCTATGGTCAAATCTGGCCACCGCAACAAATGGAAACTCATACTCGTTTCGTCGCTCATCCGACGAGGAGTACCAGCTAAAGCTGAACGAGAAACATGCAGAAAGAGAGAGAGAGCGAGAGAGAGAGAGAGAGAGAGAGAGAGAGAGAAATATATAGAGTTGGGTGGCTCCGGATCGATAGAGCAGGTGGCAGCACGTCGTGTTACCTGGTTAGCTTCCGGTACTCTACCAACGATCAAAGTCCAATGACACTGGGCTCTGATTGAACGTTCGAAGGATAGATCGTTCTGAAAGATTCCCTGTTATCGGACACGACGAAATATCGGACAGGAAGTTCAATTTCAAAGGATTTACTAAACGCAAAGAGAAAGGTAAAAGAGAGGGAGAGAGAGAGAGAGAGAGAGAGAAAGAGAACAATCGTTCGTATGGATCATCTTACTCGATAATCATCATAGATTATTTTTTATATTAATATATGTGTCGTTTTGTTGTTTTCATTTTTTTTTTTTTTTTTTTTTTTTTTAAGATAAAAGTTGAGATTATATATACAGATATTATTTGTATATAATATATCGATGAATAATTATTGGTTTATTATTAATTAATTAATTAATTAATTAAATAATCAATGTAATTCAAAATAAGATATTAATTTAATTACAATTATTATTATTATTATTATTATTATATATATATATATATATATATATATATATAATATTATTCATTATTTAATAATATTTCTTTCTCTATTAAAATAGGATTAAAAATAGGATTTGAAAATAAAATTTAAAATAAAATTTAAAATAGGATTATTATTGAAAAACAACCATTCTCGTTGATTAAATATCATCGTACATGATCGGATTTTGTTCGTAGATGGATTATAATTTCTTTTTTTTTTTTTTTCCATTCTTTCTTTTTCTTTTTGTCCTTTATTCTGTTTTTCTTTTTTTTTTCCGTTTTGTTTTGTTCTTTTTTCTCTCGTTCGCTCTCATATCATTTAGTTTTGTTATTCTTTGTGGCTATAGTTTCTATTTTTTTTCTTTTTTTTTTTTTTTTTTTTTTTTTTTTTTTTTTTTAATAGTAAGATAATTATAACGTTCAATGACGTTGAACAGACAATCTAAGTCCATTGTAACCAGAGAATTTCAGAGATAACATCTGCGGACAATGCATGGACTCAGTTTAATCCGTTCCCAAGCGTGTTAACCTGTTCTATGCGGCCATTTTGGGTATGTCAGTTCAGTGATTATTACATGTTATTGTTATAATTATTATTATTATTATTATTATTATTATTATTATTATTATTATTATCATTATTATTATTACTATGCGATCTTGCGCAGCGGAATGAAAGCTTTTTCATTGAAGAAATTTTAAAGTCAGATAGAGAAAGAGAGGAAGAGGTTAGACGAGGAGAAGGCTATAGATGAAAACATTTAATTAATTCTTTCGAATACAGCTATGATACACACACACACACATATATATATATATATATATATTTATTAATTTATTTATTTATTTGTTTGTTTCTTTATTTATCAAAAATTAATATTTTCTACGTAAAGTAAATAAAAAATTGGAATAGATATTTTTTTTGTTTTGTTTTTTGTTCTTTTTTGTTTTTTGTTTTGTTTTTAACGTCTCTTTTAACGAATCTTTAGATGACATTAATAAAGAAACGATCTAATGAATTAATTCCGTTCACTCGTTAGAATATATTCGATGATTATTGCGAATTGGTAAAGAAATAAATGTAAATAAAGTAGTAATAGAAAAGGCAGAAGAAGAAAAAGAAAATGATGTATGATGAGAAATAACTCAC